AAATTTGCAAGCGATCATTTTGTAGAGGAAGAATTAGGCTTTCTTTAAAAAAAAGATCAGCTCGATTGGACCCTTTGCTTGCTAAAAGAAATTTCGAATTCATTTCATTTTCATTCCCTGGTCTATAATTTATCTCCCCAATCCCACATCAAAAATGACGAATGGAAAAGAGAAATTCAGCAACAAAACAACAACTGATAATGAAAATTTTTGTAAGAAAAATGGGTAGCTAGTCAAAGGATGAAGATACACTCTGAGCTGGAAACCCGAAGCCAAAGCTGGCAAAGATAAGACTGGTACTTACAGCGGGCATTAGCACAGAATTTCCCTTGGAACCAAAAGTTGTTTCGGTTTCGGTTTAACCTAAAACCGTCATTTTTGGGGAATTGTGAATTGAACCTAGTCAAAAGTTACTTTTCTGTTCATGGCATACCGACCCGAAACCGTGTCTAATTATTAGGCAAAAGTAAAAAGACTAACAAGGGAATGCCAACCGGGCATGGTGGCCGAATGACCCTCTACCATACGACGCGGAATTTCACATTCCGAATCTGCTGATGAGCACTCTGTCAAAAGTTATAAGCGTGTAAAGTAAAAGTAATAAGATAATTTTATCAAAACAATGGAACAAAAGACGAAAAGAGTGAGGCGGTAATCCGGCGCGAAGAAATGAAAACAGATTTCAGCTCAATTTTGAGATCTCCTCTTTTCACGTATGTTCAGCGGAGACGAATTCGATCAAAAATGTATCACAAGGCCATTTGCGCTTCATAGAAAGCTTAGAACCAAGTTAAACTCTTCAATAAATACATGTAGCGTTGAAGTCAAACGCTATTACATTTCATTTTATTGATTGAACCAAGTATTTATTTATGCATAGACAGAGTCAAAGGTGAAAAAAACCACAAAATGGTACTCACATATCACAATAAAATATCACCAAACAAAATCTCGTACTCAAAACTTCAAATTTCGACAGGCACTTTTTTGGCAAAAAGAGGAAGTAGGTGCCATAGACTAAATAAGTGCTGCCATATGAGTAATTTGAAAAATACAAAGTATTGGGGCTTCAACAAACAAATTTAGAATTGAATCGATGAAACATATTTGGCGAAGAAAAAGCCATGGCACACAACATAAATACAGTCACGCTTCTCGTTGATTCTTTTCAAATAGCAATCAAAAGGACAATCAACAGAAGCATGATGACAACGATCAAACGCTCTCTTGGCTGGACTACGATCCAAAGAATGAAGAGAATCATCAGAATCAGAACGAGAATCCCCAGAAACAGATAGGGATTCAGCAGATACAGAAACAGAACGAGGACGAGAACGAGGAGGAGGAGAACGATCAATTGGACCACCAAGAGAAACAGAATGCCTAACCCGTTTCTTGATTGGACTACGATCCATAGAACGAAGAGAATGATCAGAATCAGAAAGAGAATTATCAGAAACAGAAAGAGATTCATCATGCTCAACACCTCTCTTCATCGGATTACGATCCATAGAATCAAGGGATTCAGCAAATACAGAAACAGAACGAGAACGAGGAGGAGCCGGAGGAGGAGAACGAGAACGATCACAATAAGCAGATTCAGCAGAAACCGAAAGAGAATCATCAGAACCAGAACGGGAATCATCAGAATCAGAACGAGAATCAGCAGAAACAGAAAGAGATTCGGCAGAAACAGCACGAGGCCGAGGAGAACCAGAACGAGAATGACCACAATAGTTATCCATAAACCTGTGTTTTCTCAGCGTTTCCCTCATTGTATCCACGATCAAAGCCTTGTTTGGTTCGTTGACCTCACGAATTCCAGGAAAGTTCTTGATCAAAGTGTAAAATAAAAGTTCCATTCTGCCTCGCACCAAACAAGCAGCTTCTTTATTTTCACTCGGAATTCCGGAATTCAGAATCAATTCTATTGTCGATTTGACACTTCCGAAAGGAACCCCAGTCACAAATAACTCAAGTTGAGTCTTCGAAAGTGCCGAATAAACTGTTGGATAAAAATCAGGATCACGATAAAGTTGCACGGAGATCATTTTGCAATTTTGAAGGCTCCCATTGATCAAAGACAACATAAGTTGTTGATGTATCTCTCCCTGTAAATTGGAAAACCTCAATGATGCTCGATCGGTGACTTCAGCTTTTAAATTATACAAAAAGTCGTTGAAATTGTTCCCCCAGATACTAACTTCCAACTCGTCGACTTGTTTCAAATTGGCGAAGCCCTTCTTGAGTCCCGAAAGTTTTTCCTCGTTCAAGGCGTCATACCACACATCTGAAATTTCCAAAACCGAACATCGTTCAACCTGCGACAGGAGAAGGACTTTATGTGACATGAAATAAAATGGAAGAGGCCTTGATTCAGCGAATTTCATGATGAAGACTAGATCTTGGTAGCGTTTGCGCGGGCCCTCGTAACTTAAATCTCGATCCTCCATCATGACGCTAATCAAATGAATTTGTTTTCCAAGAATCCGTGCTGGTTTCTGGAGAAGAATCCATCGAAATCTTCTGTCAGCTATCATCAATTCGGGCACATCTTTTGGATCTAATTCATCGATTACTTCCAAAACCAGATCGAAGCAGAGTTTTCCCATCGGAAATTTGAGAAGATTGGGCATCTCGACAGGAAGTTCTGCCGTTCAGCCTGAAAATTGAAAAATTCGAAAAGAACAATCAAATCTCAGTAAAAGTTGGCTAGAAAACAAAAATAATAAACAAGGTGGGGACAAATGCTGGTTTGTAGCTAAAGTTTGATAAAATCTTTGATTCCTCTAAAACTCGTGATGATCTTTAGTGCATAAACAACAATAATCAAAGCTTTACATCCAAAAAGAGAAAAAATTGACTCAAAAGATTTCAACAGTCGCTCTTTTTAAGCAAAAACGTGTCGTGGACCAAAAATAGGCCATTTGTCATCAAAACAATACTTAAAACCAGTAAAATATGCGCTTAAAAGGATTTAAAAGTCTATTCAAACCAGGGAAAGCTGAAAAATGGCAGAAAATATCACCCCTAACTTCCGGGGAGAAGAGAAGAATGATTTCCCAAGCACAGAATTTGCCTTTTATCCCATCAATTGGCACCGTAACCCACTAGGTTGTCATTTAGAATTCGAATATGGGTGTTTGGCTCACATTTTGTTTGCAACTCGTAATCCACGGTTCATTGAGGTTTTTGGCTTTTTAAGATTGTGGTCAATTCAGAAATAAAAAGTGACAGCTTGGTTACAAAAATTTCGACAAGAAACTATTTTTCGTTTCCGGACACGATCCAGAAGAAAAACCCCTATTTTGCAATGTTGAATTTGCGCAGAAAAAGCAAAATTTTCGGTAAATTCTGTGATAGAACTACATTCCATAGGAACGAGAAAGAGAAGAGAGGAGAAAAGAGAAGACAAGATCGCAGAATTTAGCTGAAAATTATTTTCTAACTCTGGGCGTCGCATTACCGCTCCACTCTTTTTGCCTTTTTTCCATTCTTTGATAAAATTACCTTATTACTTCTACTTTGCAGGCTTATAACATTTGACAGAGAGACAGAAGCAGATTTGGAATCAGCGGAATCAATTCCGCGTCGAACGGTAGATGGTTGGTGTCATTCGGCCACCCCGCTCGGTTGGCATTCCCTTATTAATATTTTTACTTTTGCCTACTAATTAGACACGGATTCGGGTTGGTTTGCATCGAACGGAAAAGCAACTTTTGATTAGGTTCAATTAACAATTAGCCAAAAATGACACATTTCGGATTGTGGCAGGTTCAACCGAAATCCAAAAAAACGTTGGGTTCAAAGGGGAATTCAGGTTGATGTCTGATAAAAGTTGTTGTCTTACTTCTTGCTTCCAATAATCAATATTCACTGACGCTCGATCGATGACTTCAGCTTTGAGATGCTGCAAATACTCGTTGAATTTGTCTCCATAGATCCTCACATCCAACTCGTGGACTCAATCTGGCGAAGTTCTTCTTGAGTTCCGAAAGCCGAAGGCGAAAGCTCCTTCTCAAGATGAATGTCGTCACATCCAACTTGTGAAATGGTCAAATTTTCAAAAACTTTTCAAACTGAACATCTTTCCACTTGTGCCAAGAGAAGAACATTGAAAGAGGTTGAACAGAGACTGAAATGAAGAGAGATTGATTTGGGAAATTTCGTGACTACAATCATCTAAGCGGTATAATGAAAAAGATCATTATCATCATGCCAATCTCCTAGTTTGATGTCAATCGAATGGATTCGTTTTCCAAAAATCCGTGCTGGTTTCTGGAGAAGAATCCATCGAAATCTTCTGTCAACTTTCATCAATTCGGGCACATCTTTTGGCTCCAACTCATCGATTACTTCCAAAACCAGATCGTAGCAGAGTTTCTCCATCCATTTGTTAATTTGCCATTGTCCCGGCTTTGCAAAGGCCCTGGGGAAGAAAAAATGGTAAAAGACAAGTGGTTCCTTAGTTGTCACTCGGAATTCCGGAATTTAGTATCAACTGAATCGCCGTTGTTCGAATGTTGGTTATAATCCGCTGTTTCTAATGGAAGTACCTAATAGCCCGAAAAAGAAGAGAGATCAGCAACTAAAAAAGGAGAACGAAAAGAAGAGAAATAGACGCGAGAGAGCCACAAAGAGACGAAATATCGAGTGATTTCGAGAGACTTCGAAAAAGGTTCATTTCCAAAGAGGCAATAGAGTGAAAGGGGAAAACAAGTGCCGACTCCGTTTCCAGAATTTTCGAGAACCTCCCGGAAAGCCCATCGAATCCTATATAAACCGACGGTTCACTCCAGCGGTCATCAACTCAAATCAACACATCTTACTATCAACAATTACCTTCACACTTCCAAATGTCACTTCTTCTTTTTCCGTCGAACAATTTCTGTCGTCCATTCCGCCGTCGACATCCCTTCAATGATATCTTCGAAACGATCAATTCATTGGAAAGGGCTTTTGATGGACCAACAATCCATCGAGACCTTCAGCAACGAGAAATGGTATGTTTTTAAGGCAAATTTGCTTGTTAACTCTGTCATAGACTTTTGAAAACGTAAGTAGCTCATAAGGTAGCTTCACATTTTCAATACCAGAACTCACCTTTTAGATTTCGTTGAGTGACGAGGGTTTCTCCGTGACATGCGACGTCTCCTCGTATAAACCCGATGAATTGAAATTGCGATTGGACGGGGATGTTTTGTCGATTGAAGGAGAGCACAAAGAGGAGAATGAACAGGTGGAAAATTAAAGTTAATTACAAAGTATAGTCAATTCAAATTGAAGAACCTTAATCTTAATGTTTAACCATTGATGCTAGTTATTATATGAAAAGCATTCCTTTCTTCACCCCATTTAACCCCACATATTTCAGGGCTCCGTCCACCTCCGTTTGCAACGTTCCATTCGGATTCCCGTGGATCAAATCGATCTCTCGTCACTTCAATCATCACTCGATCAACATGGAAATCTCTCAATTCATGCCCCATTGATTGAAAAGAAGAAACAACTGAATGGACAAGAGATTCCCATTCAAATTACCGGACAACAAAAGGGAACAGGAACAATCGAGAATTAACAGCATCCAAAACTCTCAACTACCCTAATTGAACTTTTTCTTTACCACATTTTTCTGTGCTACTTTTTTGATTTGAAAAAGTTTCTCAACTCATATTTTTAGTGTAATTTTTGCTCTGTGATTTTGCTTTTGTGAATACTTTAATAAATTATTGTATTCTTAGTTTAAAAAGCAAAAAACACGTTTGCAAACAAGATAAGCAATCAAGATATGTATAAGGTCATCCAGAAAACAACAATTTTTGAGACCCAAACCTTTTTTCTTTTAGGAGTGATGACGAGAACAAAAGGAAAGAAGGATTTGGATCAGAAAGTGCAACAAGCTATCGTCAATGGACGTAATCAGGGGAGGACTCACGCAGAATTAGAAGTTCAATTTGGTGTTTCGAATCAAGGGCGGGTGGCACGTTGTCGAGGCTAAAATTCGTAAAGTTCTATTTGATCTACCTACTCTATTTGATTATCCTCATTTATTAGGGTTTCTCGAATTGTTGGCAACGCAGAAAGCACGCACAAGTACTATCGAGCGAGAAATATGAGGCGATCATCGAAAAACTCAACTGATGAAACTGAGAAGCCAAAGGAACAACGCAAGAAGTGAATTGGATAAGAAAGGGGTCGCGCTCTACATCACGGGAAAAAGGAAAGAAAACAAGCACATGGAAAAGGTTGTCAGACTTTTTCTTTCTTTGTCAAACTTTTTCTTATAAATCTTTCTTATAGTTTTTCTTATAAATTAAGGTAAAATACGATAACTTAAACTTATGGCCAATATACACTATTTGACACTGCTTTTCTTGAAAACGTTTGTAGAGCACTTTTCCGAATGATTCCGAATAATGAAAATTATTCCCGGGTTGATTATCCGAAATTTCTGGATAATTGCCGGATTAACCCGGATTATCCGGATCGCCCTGACTGGAAAGTATCATTCGGCACTTGTCGGTTATACATCTACAATACTTTTTGATGTCATCAATGAGCCACTCCGACCAGAATGTACAGAAATGGTGATTCGTTGGACTGTCACCAACGGAATTCCGAGTCAAAATCGAGGTGCAGCGATTTGGCTCACATTTACAAAGACTGACTTGCTGAAGATCTTCTCAAAGCTGCCCGGAGTTCGAGAAGTCGACGAAGAAAGGAAATGTGATCATTTTTTGTGATTTATTGAGCGTTCTACTCTGCCGAGGCATAAGTAAATACTTCTCTCTAATCAACAAAATCAAATGAGATAGCGTTTGGCTTCAACGCTGCATGTATTTATTGAAGAGTTTGACTTTGTTCTAAACTTTAGAAACCCCGATAAAGCTATGATACATTTTTGATCGAATTGATTTCTGCTGAATATACGTGAAGAGAGGAAATCGCAGAATTGAGCTGAAATATAACATAGAAAGGACCCCAAGCTAGGGTAACAAAGAGGTTTGAGGACAATGACAATCGTCTTTTCGGCCATCAGCGGAGCTCCCGTTGAGAACAATGCGCGAAAAGTGGTTTGTTGCTGAAGATAAAAGTCAAAATTTGTTAATGCTAATTTGTTAAAAGCTGGTAATTATCTGATTATTTGATTGTATTTTCTATGTGCAGACTGATCAAGAATCAAATAGAATAGCATTGATTCCGCCTGTTCTATGGGTGAAAAAATTTATGCCCAGTCCAAAACTAAAACCAAATTCTTATTACTCTTTCAGAAAGCTGCGTGCAGCATGGTGTGCGGACCAGGCGAAAAATGCGAAACGACCTGCCAGAATACATGGGGAGAATTGTGGGGATGTCATGATGAGTGCAAGCCGATCGTCGAACAGCTCAGCAACAAGGCCGTTGTGAGTCTCGTTTAGCCTTTTTTGCAAACATTAAATTATCCATTGGATAGATCCCTATTGCTTAGAGGGGAATGAAAAAAAGTCAGTTCAAATTGCAACTTTTAACCGCACTCAATTTTGACTTTATGGATGTACAAAGGCTCGACCTGAAAAACTCATCCTACGGGGATCAGCTTTTTAATTTTTTTGCTAGATCCTCAATTCCAATCTGATACCCTCGACTTCCAAGCCTAGAAATAAAAACAAGTTACAAAAATTGAAAGAAAACACCTAAGTAGAGCTAGTTTTAGGTGTAATGCAGCGAATGTTTCAGAATGCGGACTGCCAGAGGGATTCGGATTGCGGTGTGGGCGAGAGCTGCGTGCAACAATGCTATCCACAATACTGGAACTACTGTGACAACGTTTGTCGCCAAAAAGTCCAAATCGACGCGACCGTCAAGAAGGCTCAAAATTAAAGATCGAATCTTAATAAAACTTATTCCGTATTTGAAAAGCGCATGAAGGATTTTTGAGAAAGTATTTTAGCATTTTTAAAAATTTACCGTTTGAATGAATCGTTTTTGAGCATAGCCAACAGATTTCATGCAAATGAGATTCGATCTCGCAGTCATTTCGGGTCAAACCCAACTGTTCCAGACGCCTCTAAACGAGCCACTTGTGCTTTGCCAATCAAAAGAGGCAAGCCCATCAGTCGATTGGGGACTTAATGAAACACCGACAAAAGAAACATTAAGAGAAATTTCAAGATTTCAAAAACCTCTAAGAAACTGTGGACTACAATTGAAGAAATCTGAGCGACACACCCACATTCGAATTCTAAAAGACAACCTTGTGGACTAGGGTATTAATTGATGAAAGAAAAGTGAAACTTGCTGTTAAGAAATCATTCTTCTCTTCTTCCAGAAAATGATTGGTGCTATTTTATCTAATAGTAGTGCACTCTCTAATAGTATTACGGTCCGGGAGGCGGTTGAAAAAATATTAGTGAACGCTTGAAAATTTGCATTTATTTATTTCATTTAGTGCTTCTTTTTCGTCTAAACATTGATAGAATCAATCAAATTACCCGCAAAAAAAACCGCCCAAACTATTGCACAAGTACAGAGGCTCTTTTGTTACAGTTTATTCAAACAGTTCCAATGAGACTTCTCGCGGTGCATTCATCGATTTCTTTTGCTGATGACCCGCGTTGTCTACAGGGATACATATAATACATGGAGCTCAATCTTTGTGCCATCTGTTCAAGCAGCAGTATACCTCGGAAATCTTATTACTTGTTGTTAGATCAAGCAGACTAATTCAATACCTATATAAATACTTTTCATTTTCTCCCGAACAAAAGCCGAGTAAAAAGCAGGGGAGATAGCCGCCAAAAACGAGAGCTAAGAGGACGATGAGGAGAGCGCGAATACACCTGCACCGCTATGAGTAACAAAAGGTAAGGTAACAAACAAAACGCTTGAAACATCGTGTCGTTCTCTCACCGGAAGCTCTCAAAGAGAAAAAGCGAATCGTTTAATCACTTCACATGATTTAAGACTTTTGAGCCTGTACTCAACCCATCTAAAACTTCACACTATGGATCCAGCTCGATCGATTTTGTTATTTCTGGATCACAACTAGTATTTTTACACACTTTTTACTATCCGCTACATTATGAAAGACGCACCCTCTTTAAGTTCAAACTCTACGTCTGATTTCAGATTGGAATCGACTCAATCATTCTTCACCATCTTTGCCATTCACCGCACTCTTTTCAAGAGCTCTGTCAATTCACATCACTCGTCGATGAGAATTTCTCTAATGTCCATTGAATATGGAAAAGGTGCAATAACTAAATTTTGTTTTTTTTCTGTTTCATCACCATTTGCAACGTCCCAACGTTCAGCCGCACTCACGACTTTTCCTCCATTCAAGCCGTCTTCCGCCAAAAAGCCATCTTTCTGGTGTTTGGGATCGGATTGATACTCTGTCTCGTCTACCAATTCATCATCACCATTTCTCTTGTCCATAAGTTAGTTGCCAAGTTATTGATTTATCATATGTAATCAATGGACTCATTAGAGGCTAACGGGCTCCGGAATCGAGCTGTTCAATCAACCAAGAATCTCATCTGCAATGCATTCAATTGTTATTTATTTTTCAGTGTTAAAAGTTTGAAGCAAAACTAGGGCTATTGTTGTTTTCTGGATGATGTTATACATATTTTGAACGTTTACCCTCGTCCCTCCTCACTCAACCAAATCAGTTCTGGCATTGAAAAAAGTTAAATAAAAAATGAGTTCTTTGGCTTCGAGCGGTACTTGTGACTATTTACGACATTCCAGCTGATTACTTCACGCAAAGAAACTTAAATCTTCAAGCTTCACTCACCGATGCTTTGAAGTCTTTTCAAAACAATTAATATCCTAAGACTGGAAACACACTCTTGTAAGAAGTGCAGATATCTGTGGCTGAAAATAGTCACAACTACCCTATACTTACGTTTTCAAAAGTCCATGACAGTTAACAAGCAAATTTACCTTCAAAACATATGAAAATGACGATGACAATTTAATGCCTTGCCTAGAAATTAGCACTTCAAATCGCCAAATGACTGTCATTCTCCTCAAATTTGTTTGTTACCCTATCATCAAGCCCTTTCTTCTGGTCTTTTTATCAAAACCATGGAACCAAAGCCAAAAAGAGTGAGGCCATAATGCGACACCAAGAGCTGGTAAACAATATTTCAGCTTAATTCTGCGATCTCCTCTCTTCACGTATATTCCACGGCGGCCAATTCGATCCAGAATGTATCACAAGTCGATTGGTATTTCTAAAGTTTAGAACAAAGCCAAACTCTTCCATAAATACATGCAGCGTTGAAGTCGAACGCTATTACATTTGATTTTATTGATTGAACCTTTCTTTATTTATTTCTGCATAGACAGAGCAAAAGGTGGAAAAAAATCACAAAATAGTACTCACATCTGACAATAAAACAACACCAAACAAAATCTCGTCCTCAAAAATTCAAATTTCGACATGCACATTTTTGGCAAAGCAGCGGAAGTACCCATAGACTAAATAAGTGCTGCCATAAAAGTCATCTGAAAAATTACAAAGTATTGGGGCATCAACAATTGAACAATCAACATCAACAATTAGAATTGAATCGATGAGAAATATTTGGCGAAGAAACAACCATGGCGCACAACATAAATACAGCCACGCTTCTCGTCGATTCTTTTCAAATAGCAATCAAATGGACCATCACGAGAAACATAATGTTCCAACCCTCTCCTGATTGGAATATGATCGAATATAGAATACAGAGCTTCTTCAGAAACAGAACGAGGAGAATTAGAACGATCACCACCCCGATCCATAAAATTGTGTTTTCTCAGCGTTTCCACCATTGTATCCCTGATGAAAGTCCTGATGTTTGGTTCGTTGATCTCACGAATTTCAGCAAAGTTCTTGATCAAATTGTGAACTTCAACTGCCATTTCCCGGCATTGCAGGTAACAAG